AGTTCATTGAACAAATGCAGGGTTACTTTTTATTAACTCTCAGGTTTATGAATATGTTACAGCATGCATAAAGATGGATTTTTGAAGCAGAATCCTTATGGTACAGAGGCAGATTTGCAAGCTGACTTTCCATCTTGGTTCAAACAACATGTAAGAATCATTTCTCCTGTTACATGTATGACCTTTTTTTAGTTTGTTATTCTTTAAGGGATTTTTCTTGTTTCATGTTTGACCTCTTTCTATTGTTTGTTCTGTAGGTTTCTAGACTGTATATGAATGGACAAATTAAAAAAACTGACCACTTATATAGTTTGGGGTTAGGTCCTGATGAGAGAGTTACTAGATATGCTGGCCTAATTAGTAATGGGGTTAGATATCATACTGTTCAGCATGAAAAGGGCCATCATACTCAGAATAGCGGGATTGTAGTTGAAGGTGATCACAAATCAGAAATTATTGACTTTTATGGTGTTCTCGTGGACATCATTCGGGTTCAATATTGCTATGGTTGTCAGGTTTTCTTGTTTAAGTGTGATTGGTTTGATGTTGGGGATAGAAGAAACGGGATAAAGTCAGACAGCTACCTCACTAGTGTTAATATGAGTAAGAAATGGTATATAGATGAACCTTACATACTGGCTTCTCAAGCCAACCAAGTATTTTACATTAGTGATATTAAAAATGGGGGTAATTGGCACGTGGTAGTGAAAGTACATCCTAGGCATGTGTATGATGTGCCAGAGCAACTTGAAGACATAGACCCAATGTATGACCATGAGCCATACCAACAAGATGGGAGCGTCAATGCAACAGAAGTTCAGATACAGGACCAACCCATAGAATCGTTGGCACGTGAAGGTGAATCTCCAACTTTGGTCGCTGCTGGTGACACCATGGTAGTACTCGAAGTTCAAACAGAAGATGCAATTGAGAGTGTAGACACGACCGATGAGGAGGAGGATGATACACTAGTTGACTATGGTAGCATTGATGTTGATGATGAGGAAGATGACTATTAAATTGCTTTCTGTTTTTTCCTCTGTCTGTAGACAATATTGCGCATTTGAGTAATGATTTGAATAGAAGGTTCTGATTGCAGGGTGCAAATCATCAGACTTCATATACTGTTGTTTAATATAGCTTCTTAAGTGGGATATTATGTATGCATCTCCACCTTGCAGGTTTGCGTGTACTTTCCCACCAAACAGTACATAAATAGATTCATAATGGTAATCTGTATATTTAGTTCTGCATTGCAGGTTTGCCTTCTGCTCCCCATCCTAACAATATAGAAGTAGATTCATGATACTAATGTATATAATTAGTTGTGCCTTGCAGATGTGCTTTGTACTTTCCCTCCCTAACCGAACAGAAGATGATTCATAATGATTATACAAATAGTTATTTGTGGTAGATGTTAGTTTGGGCAAATTTTACACATATTTACGTTAAGTGGCAGATACCATTGGAGACAAAATTCAAAAGTGGTTGGACCTGTGCCTTTTTTCCCATAAATATTATAATATTTAAAATTAAATTGAATTCAACTCTCAAATCATTTTGAAACATTAAGAACTGAATTAAATTAAATCTTTGCAAATATATCATTATTAATTCGCATGAGACAAAATTGCTATTACGGATTGAGTGACACAGCTTATTGAATTAGAAACCATAATAGCACCATCTCCATGTGCTTAGTCTTTCTAAAATAAATCTATGGCATTCTCTAAATATGAAGTTTCTTCCCCGGTTAAAATTATAATTAAGGTTCATTTAATTAAAGCCGCAAGCAAAAAACAAAAAGTGAAAATAAGTTAATGACGCAATACATATAAAAACAATATGAATTAGAACCATTCATGATATATAATATACAAGACTTGTATATTACACTAATTTTAAAAAAAAGTTATCATTGACCATAAATAATTTTAAATTCATGTCATCACCAAATATCTAATAAATCATTCAAACCTTCTCACAAAAGAAATCACAATTTTAATTCAAATTAAAAATTACAGTGCCAGTCGGTAGGGGACCACGTAAAGTCGACAACTAGGTTGAAAAATGAGAATAGAAAGCAAGTATAAAATTTATAAGGGTAAATACAATATATTAGCCATAACTATTAAGAAGCGGGGAATTATAGCCACAACTATCGAAACACAAATTATTAGCCAACCGTTAAGTCTTCGTTAACACTTCTGTTAGTAATGATGACTAAGCTTTTACGAAGCTGAGCTGGCTCCCACGTGGTAGTCATCATATCATATTTTTTTACCATTCTGGCATGGCCTTCTTCGTGAAAAATTTAAAAATTGTAACGGGCTGTTAGCCAAATCTTGACCCGCAACAATAGTTATGGCTAATAATTTGTATTTCGATAATTATGGCTATAATTCCCCGCTACTTAATAGTTATGGCTAATATATTGTATTTCTTAGTTTACTTGAATTTGAAGGTCTAGAGCTTAGTGTAATGCATGGATTAGTTGTGATTCTACATTATACCATCATATTAGATTAATGACGACAATTAAAATTAGAAGTTTCATGCTTTTTTGTGTTTGTGTATTTGGTTTTCCCTCTTGGTTATCTATAGGGTTGTTAATGATTCGAGCCGAGCTGAGCTTTGTCATAGTTCGGGCTCGGCTCTAAATATATTTCCAAGCTCAAGCTCGGCTCGTGTTCGTCACGAGCTTTAATATGCAAGCTCGAGGTCGACTCATTTATGAAAATGAAATCTCGAGCTCGTCTCGTCAAATAAGTTTAACGAGCTCAAAATCGAGTTCAGTTCATAAATGTTCATAATAGCTCCCTAGAACTTAGCACAAAATTACATTCAAACCTGTAGCAAAGTCTAGCAAAATAAAACCCAATATTTATCTCAATTTCAATGCATAAAATCCATGAATTCTAATCATTTTTTTATGCCAAACCATTAAATAAACTTGTTCGCGAGCTTTCGAGCTGAACATGGTATGACTCGAATTTGGTTCGTTTAGTTAACGAGCTTGTTCGTGAGCCGTCTCGATTAATACGAATTGAGTGTCGAACGAGTTTTTCTCGAATCGTACGCCGAGTCGTTCTTGAATGGCTCGGTTCATTAACGACCCTAAATATCTATGAGAACAGAAGAAAAAAAAGTTCCGGATTTTTTCCCCTAATCTTTTCCTAAATGATATTGGGGGATATTCCAATTCTCATTTTTGTTTCCCGCTATGAAACTTTTGGTTTTCCCTCCCAATCCCCGATTTCCTCTACACTTTTTCCACGACCTCGATAAAAACCTAGCTCCACGATCGATCCAACCCTTGCTTCCCAGATTCCAAGTTTCGACGGAAGTAAGATCTCGAGCAGCTTTCTCAACCGCGTGTGTTCAGCTTCCGACGAAGGTATCTTTCCTCTTCCATTACCGTATCCTCCCCTGTTACTTCGATTTCTACTGTGGGTTGCATGTGTTCGTTGTGGTAATAATAATAAACAAGCACCCTCAATCAAGCTTAATTAGGTAATAATAATAAACAAGAGCTCTGCAGGGTATCTTCGGTGGGGTTTATGATGTTCAATTTTGGGTAGAGTGTGTTGTGGGAGCACCTGCAATCAAGCTTTATTAGGTAATAATAATAAACAAGAACCCTACAAGGCATCTTCGGTGGGGTTTATGATGTTCAATTTGGAGTAGAGTGTGCTGTGGGAGAGTGTTGTCTCCATGGTTTGGCTTTTATTATCTTTGTGACATTTCGACACTGACTTGGAAGTTTCATGAACAATCCATGCATGTGTTGTTATTATACTTTTCTATCAAAATCTTGCATTCTGTCCTTCTATATTGTATGCATGATGGATCCTTGGAAAGTTTGTTGTTTCGTTGCTTAGTATGCTTCAAGAAGATGGTGATCTTAATTGGTGGGGAATTAAGAATCAGCCTGCCCACAGAGAAACCTGGAATTGACTTTACTCAGTCACCATGGCTTATTAACTGTACCTCTCTCACAAGTATTATTATTGTTATATGCTTGTTCATAGACATGGGGCCTGCTCGTAAGAGACCTGCGACAAACCACAATGGGAGTGCTGCAACTAGATTGACAAGATCTAAGACTGTATTGGAATCTGGAAATAATTCAGAAGGGGACACCACCATAAACAATTCCTCAGCACAGTCCCAACAAAATGTCAATAATGTAGACCAGACACCATCAGAAGTTCAACAAGTTAATATGGATGAAGCACATACAGGTTTTGTTTTGCCCTTATACCCCTCCCCTTGCCCGCCAAAGTTTTTATCATTCATCGACCATAGCTTGACACTATTTTTTAACATTTCAAAGGAGCTTCTAAGAGAAATAAGCGTGGCAAGACCAAAGGGTATGCAGTAAAACGCCGCTTAGAAGAAGGGAACAGAATTGGCGGAATAATCATTGAAGAAGGAGCTAAAGCACCAGTTGGCATTAATGAGAAGCTAATGACGATGGAGATGGGGGTTGTTGTGCGAGTACTAGCTCCAATTAGGAAGTTTTTCTGGAAATAAGTTACTACTGAAGAGAAGATTCCCCTCTTTGCAAAAATAGAGGTGCTCTGCTCACTTGATCTTTGATTTTCTTTGAATTAAATAACATGCTAGCTGAACTGTTTTGTTTTTGCTTCTTACCCTCAAATGTTGTGGTTATTGATTAGTAAGACAACATAACCAACATGACTAATATTTAGTGATATACAGAGAAATACAAGAAATAGATATTGAATGACTTTATTGTGATAGTGGTTAATCTACTTTCTGCTTTGTTTGTCCACTTCCATTTAAACTAACATTGATTTTCAATGCCTTCTTCTTATCTTAATCCAATATGTTAGAGTGAGTTTGATATAGACATGAGTGTCCCATATGTAAAAAATATGGTGGATCGCATTATGGCGGCTCGGTTTAGGCAGTTCAAGTACAACTGTCATTTGCATTACAAGGAAGAGACTGATCCTATTAAAGCACGTGAGAACCCTATGGAAACAGTGAATATTGATGACTGGAAGTTATTGTGTGACCATTTTGATGGCCCTGCTTTCAAGGTAAACTTTCTCACAATATATGGCACATGTTAAACTTATATAATCACATACTCTAACGATGTTGTTATTGCAGAAGCAAAGTGCAGCTAATGTACAAAACAGAGCCATGGTGCAAAATCCTCATACTACAGGTGCTAAGTCACAGAGTCAAAGGTTATATGAATTGGTAACCACTGTCAAAATTTGTTTATCAAATTCATTGGAGAAATGAAATTATTTATTACTTCTACTAAATTATTATGTTCTTGTTTGCTTGTTGAATAGAACAACAAGGAGGTGCAACAAGATAGCACTGACAATGATGTGGAGCAGAACAACGCAGCAGAGGAAGAGCCACCAGAATTGCGGGTGTATTCTGACACACATAAGAAGCGCAATGGAGAATGGATTAATCCAGCTAACAAGAAAAATTATGTAAGAATCTCTTCAACTAAGAACATAAATTAGAACTGTCATTAACACAAACCAACGTGATAGGCTTAAATCAAATAAAGCAATGTTGTGCCAATTTATAACATGTGGCCTCTTGGAAAACTCCATTTTGTTGGATGTCCTGTTAGTATAATAGTGTAGTTAGATCAGTTTGGGGTAGATTGGCGTTAAATAAAATAATTGAATTAATACGAAAAAAACATTAATTTGCGCAGCCTCATTGATACGGGGAAGTATTGCATGTGTGTTTCATACTACTGTTGCTATATATCTTGTTTGTTATTTTAATTTTCGTTAATAGTTAATCGTCATTCATTCATTTGAAAACAAACTGTATTCTTAATTTGTAGGAAGATATGACTGATCTCCGTAATCAAGCCATACAAGATGGAACTGAAGTGTCTGGTGGTGAGATTGTTGAGAAGGTACTGAAGAAAAAGCCTACCTATGCTCGGAACATAAAGCGTACGGCTCGGGAGGTGCAGCTTGAAGCAGAATTGCAAGCCGAGAGAGCACAAAGGCAAGCTGAAAAGGAGAGTTTTGAAAGACGAAGCAAACAGTTTGAGGAGCAGATTGAAATCCAACAACAAAAGATACAAAGTCAAGACAATAAGTTTGAGGCGATGGAAGAATCACACAATCGCCTTCAAGCTACTGTTCTTGAGTTGGCTGCCAAAATGAATGATGTTAGCAGAAGCTGATTCTCTTAGTACAAGGTAACAACCAACTTTCTTATTGCTCTAACCCTTCTTCGTTTTGTTACTATAAATTTATTCCCTGCACTTTTTAAGCTGACAACTTATTTATTCAAGTTTTATATGCAATAGAGGCATCTAGTGATCCTCTTCTTCTATTGCTTTCTTTCTGTTGCTTCCACTGTCACCTCTTTTGTTTTTCTCCTTTGTGTCTTGTGCTGGATTTTGTTCCAGCAGCTGTAATACTTTTTCTAAATATGGGTCATACTGCATCTTACTTAATGCAGAAACTCATATACTTTTGCTTTCTTCACAGGTGATCTCTGCATATAGGGATTTAGTGCCTTGAGAAGATATGAAGAATTCTAGGTGAAGGATTAGTTGTGGAACACCATGATCATTGTTCATTTCAAGAACTTCTTTTTGTCGTACTAAACTAGTCAGTACTCAAGGCGTTTAGTCAAAAGTATTTGGAGTTAGTGGTGGTTTATATACTATGCTACCCATTTCAGACGATGAATGGCTATTTGATATTATAATGAAATGTTTGTTTTCTAGCAAAGTATACAACGAAAGCATATCTACCACTACATAATGACAAACGCTTTCATCCACATAAACCACATTGTGACAACAATTCATTGTGGCAGAATTAATTTGTCATAAGCTCAATTTTGAATTAAAATCATTAATTTGACAAAATGCTTCTTGTCATAGTAACATCAATGGTGACAAAGAGCTTTTGTCATTCTTGACATCATAATATGAAGTTGTGACGAATTCGGTTTTGTTACTATAATGTTATGGTGACAACAAACTTTTTCACATGTAATGAAATGTGACGAATGTGTAATTCATAATTTAATTATGAATTATGAGAAAAATGACTAAATCTGCAATTAATAACTAGATTGTGACAATGCTATTTGTCATAATAAAGTTGCAAAATATTATCTCTTATGACAAATTTGTAATTGTGACAAATATTAATGACAAAATGACTTGTCATGTTATACTTGTTTGTCACAACATAAACTCAAACTAACATGTCTAATGACAAAACGGTTATTTAAATATGATAAAATAGTAACTAGTTGTGACAAAAATGTTTATCACAAGAATGTTCTATTAGGACAAAAAGTTTTCGTTACAAGAAACTTTTCCCTCTTGTGACAAACTAAGATTATTTTTGTCATAATAGATCTATTACCACGGGGTTCTTTTAACAAACCATGTTTGTCACAATCTTTGTCACAATAGGATTGTGGTGACAAAATCGGAGACTATTATGACAAAGGTAACCTGTCACTATAGACCAAATTTGTTGTAGTGGTTTGTGAAGTTTTAAAAATTTCATGTACTATAATGCAATGAAAAAACATAGAGGAACTAAAATGTAATTTTACCACCAAATTATTTTGCATATTTTTGTAAAATAGTGAGGTACTAAATTGTAAGAAAATAAGTTGGCTATCAAAATGTAATTAAAAAAATTATTTTGTTCATTGATTTGACTCGTCCAGCCCGAGAGGATAAGACAGGGTAGAGGTCAAAATAGGAGCGAGGTGAGTCTGTTAGAAATTGAGCGCCCAAAAGCGGGTGAAGCATGATTTTTACAAGGTCAAGGGTGGGTCTGGCCCAGTTTCAGACCTACTTGCAACCACAGGTTAAAGTACAACCAACCTTTGACATGTAACAAAAAACGAAGATTATATCATACAAATTAACCACGATCAATTAACATAAGAAAAATACTATTATAGGTAATGTTGAACTCAAGATTTGAACCGTTTTCATCTCAGAATTCAAGATTGTCACAAAGAGGATAGAAATAACACAATTATACTACATTTTGTAGAGCAAGAACATTGGAGATAACTTTTTCCGAGAAACAGATTGGTCCATTGGAAACCCTAGCTAGATGGTACGTTATATGCTGCATGTCCCATATAGCTGGAATCTTCTTATCTTAGGCTCTGCAATAATTCCCTTTTTTTTTTTTGCCCCACAAGAGTACCTTTATTCCCAAGAACACAATGAGTGAATTAGCATTCTCTGCTTCGGCAAAAGTACTCGATCGTTCATGATCAGATGCTGAAAATGACCGATGGAGGGATTTTGCTACATCTAGCTAGTTAGCATGCAATGCAAGCTTAATTATGCCATGCCATGATATATAGATTTCTTTCTTCACCGGCCAACCTGTGCTTCGGGAGAATCTTATTGCTCTCTTGGGCTTATATATATAGGCCGGTTCTGATTATGAGCTCTACACTGATCATTTGGTAGCAAGGTTTGCCATCAAATTGGATATTAAGAAGGTTTATGATGATGATGCGTGTAGGTTATATTGTCCCGATCGGTTTGAAGTTTGCACCGGTTAATAAATGGGATAATCAAATTTGGAACGATAGAAGATCTCTGAATTACAAAAGCCTATAACATTATGTCGAGAATCAGATACAGTTACAACAAGTCAAATTATTTGGAGATATTCAACTATCGATCATATACCACTTAGTAACAATAACGACCGTGGCAACTCCCAAAACTGGATGACATATTTACAAAATGGTTGGTTACAGTTCTTATGTACTCATGAGTATGACCTAGCTATGATCCTAGCTACCAAACACAGTCAGCCAACAAAACCATGAAGAATTTAGGCAAACCAACACCAATTTTAGTGAAGATGATCATCAAGATCAGGTCAGTCTTTGTTGCAGTTGATGATCAAGTGGTCGTTGACCTTCATCCAGTTGATATACTGCTGGATCTCAATAAAGATGTACTATACCACTGATCAGTACTGCACCAGATTGCTCCGGTTGCACCATGATCTGCTTGCCTCGAAGATTCTGCTGCTCCAAAGAAGGTAAATTCAGTGGCGAAGCCGGAAATCTGAGTGAGTGGGGGAAAAAAAACATGATGCTCAACGCTTTGCACCTCGATAGCCTCGGGGGTCAATTAATGACCCAATCCTGTGGACAACACACTCTCCGCTTTGAAATCCTGTCATTAAGAAGAAGCAGCAAAAATCAAACTCGTTTTCCTAGGGATGCTAATTGTATTCATAATGTTGCATCCAGCACAATGGGAGTAGCTAGATAGATAGATAGATAGAGTAGTATACCAGTTTCTGATGAACATACGAGCCCAAGTCGATCGCAACACCTCTCGTGATAATAACTCGATAGAAAAGCATACCAACAAGAGTCCCTCCGATTGGGGGGAGACATCCTTCAAAAAAACTGAAACGATACAGAGAAGATAAGCATGGTCGCTCTGCTGTGCAGAGATGACACGCATAAATCGAGATAAACAAATGCACATACACGACCCGACCCCAGCCAGCTATAGCATGCAATGAAGGATTCAGATGGAAACCCTTCTAACGTATTGAAACTAATGAAATGTAGCTCAAAACAGCACATAATGGGATTCAAAGGTTTTGATGGAGGAAAAGCTGATCACCATCATCATCATCGATCCATTGATGCCATGTGTATATATAGAGCAGGAACAAGAGACCAGAAAAGTGATATTGGCGCGGCTCAATCTGAGATCGTATTTTACTGTAATATAACAATCATCACTATGCTCATCATCAGCTTTCCTTCCAATAATCTTCGTACAAAAATCCGGCCTTCGGATTGAACCCCACCAATATCGCCTTTCTTCGTGCTTCCGAAAAAAAGCACAGCATCAATTAATTACCATGATCGGTCAAGTGGAGGGATCACTGCAGCTAATTGGTACGTACAATGTTACCAAACAAGCTAATCATTCATCAAAAGTGCAGTCCAAAACTAATTATGTATACATATGCATGGTCCCAATGAGAAAGAAAGAAAGAAAGAAAGAAAGAAAGAGATGAATGAATGAATGGATTGATGATATGAATTTGTTGGAGTAGATGGGTAAGGGAAGAGGTGGGTGGGTGAGAAGGTGACTAATGAGTTGGTGTTTGTTTGTTTGGTGATTATTATGTGTATGATAATTTTGTGTGGGGATATATAGTCTAATTGGGTCAAGTGGGTGGGAGAGAGATCTTCCTAGCTAACAAAATCATCATAATCATATTATTCCCATAATTCAAAAATGCCAAACAAGTAATAACAATTCCATGAACTTGGTCAATTCAAATCAAAAGACCACCACCACCTTTTCCTAAATTTTCCAAATCCAAAAAATGGTGAAATAGTGGTACATTCATATTTGACCAAAAGAAGAATATGAAAGTTTGAAGAACTTTTTTTGACTTTACGATGGTCCGGACCCTTTCATTGATCAAAGCAGATGTATATGAACCATAATTTCTGTTATTATCGAACTAAAAATAGATCAATGAAAATAACAAAATTTGAAATCAATATCATCACACTCTATCGCGAAACCGATATGCATTTATCATCGACCTTCTACGTACGATGAGAACTGAACACAAGGATATCAGCCAAAACACAAGTAGAAAGATGTAGAGATGAAGTTTTACAAAACTATATGCCAACTTGAGCCATCCATAACGGGAAAACCCTATAAACCAAAGGTGATTAGGGTTTTGCTGATCAGTGGCTATATAATATATATAGCTATGGAAAACGATAATAAAACAGTACTATACTGCAAAATCGAATGAAACCCTCCCACCCAATCGATGTAACAGCAACCAAACATGTATATGAGATGGATAGAAAAGAGTGGTGGAGAAAGGGTGAAGGCTGCCGGCGGGTGGCCGGAGAGAAGGCGGTGGTGGCAATGGATGAAGGGAAATGGGCCGGAGGGGGAGAAATATATGTATAGAGGCGGTGGGCAAATGAAATGAGTGATCCTTCCTTGGGATGTGGGTTGGAAGAAGAAGAAGAAGAAGAAGAAGAAGAAGAAGAAGAAGAAGAAGAAGAAGAATAAGGTGGTGGTGAGTGCGTGGAATGATTTGATTAGTAGTTTCTCTTTCGTTTCTTGGTAGGGTTTCTTGCTAGTTTTTTATATGTAAACAAACCCCAAATCATGTAGAATTAGAAGTAGTTGAACAAATAGTATCAAATGATATCCTTTCCTTGATGAGATAAAACAACATTATTTTTTTCAAAATTTGGAATAATATTTAAGTAGACCCAAAATAAAAATTTGCATTTCATAGAAAGGAATTCAAGACTCTAGAAGGAAAAAAAAAGTAAGAAAAACGAAAAATAAATCTAGGAGAACTCAAACTTCTAACTATCAACAAAATTATATTTACATTATTAATATCACGAAAACAAAACTTCTCACTTTAGTAACCAAACAATAAAAATTGTTTATCCGCATCCAAATACATATTAGTGTTTATCTTACGTAGACGTTATTATTTACTATCCGACTCCAAATACCGTCCGATGTTTTGCATGTCATCATATAATTAAATTAGTAAATTAGAATTATCTTGATCATTTACAATTGCCGTCATTCATTCTTTGTTATTTTATAATGTACCTCCTTGTAAATCTCTCAAATTTACCCTGTTACAATATACATAAATACATATATATTCTATTTCATGCTTAGTTTCTACTCAATTGAAGAAGAAGAAAAAATAGAATTCAAAGCTCCATGCCACGCTTGAAAAAGAAAAATAATAAAGAAATGTAGACCAAGGAAGTGGGGAAGAAAATCAAAGAAAAATTATTTTTTTTTATAAAAGGAAAATTATATTAATCATACACCAAACCCAAAAACAACAACCCAACCGCCTGGCCCGGTGGCCCCCTTTTCCTTCATTCTGCTCCCCTTTCCTTATTTCTTTCCCTTTTTTCTCACTTTGCTCTAATTAATGGTTCTTCTTTCCTCCATCCTCCTATTACATATTTCTTAGAAAACCACCTTTTCCATAGTTGAATCCAGTAGTAACAATGAATAGGACATGGTAGGTATCTCTATAAAGTATCTGTTTTTACTTTTTGTGTTTAAGTATGAGTTAAGTTGGATAAAATCTTTATGAATACAGGTTGACCTATCTTAATACGTGATCAAAGAAAATGCAGGTAATGCACATTGCTTGAAGAGTACGACAATATCCGAAAAAAATGAGTTGAATTTTGATAAGACCGTAGTGGTTAGATCGAAGTTGTTATCCTGCCTTAGCTAATTTTATATATCATGCATTTGCATCCTTGATGATCATTAGTGGTTTAAATGTTTGGAAAAAGGAAAAAGAGAGCATGGTCAAGGAGGGAATAGGATAGTTGGCTTTACATGTATAATTCTGTAGTATAATTAGTGTCCTCCATGGCAGGACAACCACTGAATGGAGAAATAAAGGGAGGAGTAGTACTAATTCAAAATGTTTTAAATGTCTACATACTTAAATATGATGCTGATGAACCTCATCATGATGATTACTGAAATCCTTAATTATATAATAATATCAAGTCGGCACGCTCCATATACTTAGATTCTTCTTAATTAATTTAATTCCTTCACTTTAAATTGTTTAAGCAACTTGCCATATGATAAAAGAGTGTGAGAACACGCTTGCCATGGACATTCCACGTATATATGAGTTTGTATTTTGGACTACTAATAATGTAGTGCCAATTATTCGTAAGGAGTTGAAGACACTCTACATACATTTTTTTTTTAAAGAGCGAGCTATAGTATTGAAAAAAAATTAAGCGGAAGAAATAAAAGTATACAAAACATAGCTCGGAGAACAAGAAATAGAGAGCTCGACACAAGAAAATATAAAGGATTACGAACACAACGAGAACTAGATACAGAAAAGAGAAAAAATGGGAGAAAAATGAAACTCATGTATACCACTAAACTACAACTCATGGCTTTGAATTCAAAATCAAGTCAACCTCATCTATAAACAGTTATTACCACTACTTCAATCCCACTTATATAAAATGGGAATAATATACATCTATTCATACCATTAAACTACAAAACGTAGATAATCAAATCTTATAAAACATTGAAATTTGATTATGATCCTAATAAATAAGCGGGTTTACTTTTTGCGATTTTGACGGCTAAGTGCATATTGTGACAATTGTTCATGATACCATCATATATGCACTTCGCAACCGTGAAATGCAAAACAAGTAATCTGAAATTCATAGAATAATATCATAAAAAAAACTGAAACATCCTCCAGCCTTACAACAATTTTCATATACCACATTTATTTCAAAATTTCGGAATATTTTTTTTTTATTCATTTCATTTGCTAAAGAGAAGAGAAATCAAAATGTCAACATGCTTTGCTTGATAAAAACCTTTTTTTGCAAGGAACTAGTAGAGGAGAACTATATACATATATACCAATTTTCTAGTCTATCCACACGGTCAAAAGCAGGAAGAGAGAGATACAGCAGAGTGGGTGGGGAATATTGGGAACAGGAGTGCAGAATGTCAGCGAAAGCTTAATCAATTAAAATTAGGGTTTGTTTATTCTTCTGTTGTGCCTTACCGAAGAAGAAGATTTCTGAAAAAGAAAAAGAAGAATAAATTTGAAAGCGGCTATGTTATATAGGAATGGCAATGTCTATGACAAATTTGATTCAGGTTGGTTCGTTGATAGTTCCGTTGGAACAGGTCGATTCATACAAATCCTTTTATTAAAAATCAAGAAGTAATGACATGATAATTATAGTTAATTTATTCGAGAAATTGAGATTATCATCTATTTAGGACTTCACTGTAACCAGAATATGAAAAGTAAAATTTTAAGTAGCCTAATTGAGATTATCATCTTTTTAGGACTTCACAGTTACACATAATTTAAACAAAAATGGGTAAAAAATAGGGTGATGCGGGGTGGTTAGATCGTTGAGAGCATTCATACTCGTCCTATTTACAAAATAAATGTTACCCAACTCAAACAAATAGGTCAAACAAGTAAGATAAAACATATGGAGCAAAATTGTCAAGACTAATGTCATACCACTAGTACTTAGTAGGTACAACAAAAAGCCAGATTCTTTTCCCCCCCTTTTGCTAGTTAATTTGTTTGTGTGTTTGTTAATATAAGCAAAAAAACGAGAAGCCATAATTAATGGGGGAAAAAGAGAGGGCAAACAAAGCGGAGACACCGGCGCCAAAGGAGCCCTGCCTTGGGCCTCCTCTAGGGGACAATCTTCTTGGTTTTTGCTCTCTTTCTTTCTTCCTTTCTTCTTCTTCTTCTACGACTGCTCTTTCCTTTCTCCATACTCCAACTATCTCTCTTTTTCTTCAATCGCTTTTTGCCCTTCCCATTTCATGGGCTCACTACCTAGCTAGGGTTTCACTCAATCACTCACTCTCATTGATTATTCCCTCCCTTCCTTTCAACTCTACTTTCCCCGCCACACATTTGGTCATATGGAAACATTTTTCTTGATATCAAAAGAATCCTTTATCACTATTTTATACGCCACTTTAGACGTAAATCCAACTTATAGGATTGGAGTTCGCAGATGAATCTTCATATATACCCGGTGTGTAGTAAAACCTGTTGTTGAGTGAAACCCTAGCCAGTGAGCCCATGAAACTTAGTTACGAGTTATGACTCATGTGCATTCTATTTTCTAATTATCATTTTATCGTGTAAAACGCATCAAGACTCATTCGATAACCTCGATAAAACTCATCCTTCCATCGAAACCCACCATCAAAGTTCCTCGCATTATTCACTATACCAATCATTAATTGGTGGACGTATCCCTTCTCCTGACCTGATCATACTCTATTTATAAAAATCCTAACTACGTCACCAAATACAACGATAACATCCAATTAAGTTGGATTCGAACTTCATGTCGACATTTTTTTTTATTACCCAGGAACATCAGCCCCACGTGCCATTTTGCGAGAATGGGTTCTACTAAACCTGGGGGCCACCTGCATTCAATTCGACGCCAACGGGACTTCGTCCGAGCAACCTTATACCTCCGAAAACACCAACGGGCATCGCTTGAATTCGAACCTAGGATCTGCAACTCTCAAACCTTCACTGTCGCGGCAGCTTACCGTTAGACTATCTTGCCTTTGGTAACATGTCAACATTCGATAATCTCTGATTAAAAAAAAACCATTTGAGAGTAATGAATCACATCCTTTATAAAAAAAAATAGAATTAAGGTTATATAAAAAGCTCGAATAATAGTAATTATGGTCCATTATTTTGTGTCTCTTCAACTTCAAGAGCACCACTCATGATTTTATGGCGATAAGTTGGCGTGCCCCCACTTACCAGATTCCCTCACGCCTCCCTCTCTTAAACCCCATTTTCTCACCTTTCTTTCCCTCCTCATCAGATCCTAGGAACCTTTCTTCACTCTTGCTAACTCATCCCTTTAATTTTCTGTTACATTAATTAATCTCTCCACTCTACCAGCTTTCTTCTTCCTCCTCGAGAAATGGCTATAGAGCCATGGGGGTCAGGTCAAAAGCTAAAAACTTCCTCAATTCTGGCTTTTTGGCCCTGCCCCCATCGCCATTGATTATTGCTCACTGCTCATCAGGCCGAACTGGGGTTTTGCCTGCCTTTACTTGCTCACAAAGCCGACAGATCGATGGCCTGCGTTTCCTTTATCTGTTTGTGTGATGAAAATGATCGATCTGTGTAGTGTAGTGTTCTTCTTCCTTTTACACATTCCCCTTTTCATAAGCATGCAGAGTGGGGGGAAAAAACTACATACTTCAAAGTTCAAAGTGTGTCCCGCATGAATGCAGAGAGAAGGGGTTTAGAATGAACAGTGTTCTAAAGATGGAATGATCAATATTAATGGCCTTTTTTCGCGGTCAAAAGATATGAGTTGGAGTTGGTCGAGGATTCTTAAAACTATTGATCATTCTATATATATATATAACCTAATTCTTTCCCAACCATTCGAATTATTGATACCGCGGGTTGGTTTATGATAATATATACTGCGTGCTTACATTGTTGAATAAAACCGTTTGCGATTAGTTATTGCGCATTTGATGATAATTTTGTAGACAATTACTCTTAAGCATGTAAACGATGTCAATAGTCAGAATACACACGAGCTGAACGATGTAAACGCATTCTTACATGCACCAAGAGAAAGTTAAGCATCATAGTCAAATTCTATCGTTTAAGGAGACGACACAATCATTCGTCGGAATACATTCAAAATTGCACGAAATCATTTCAGATGTAACATACGGTACCCAAAAGTTCGCTAAGGGCAGTAGTATAGAATTTACGAATTTAATGAATTAGTATTTGATTTTGAAATATTCCTTTTAGGGTTTCATGGATGACATACGGTCATTCATGTCGGTCTCTCCGATCTTCCCTTTTCTTGGTTCCTGCATTCGACCTTCTTCTCTTTAATCACGAAAGCAAACATGCTTTTCCAAACCTTCCCACCTTTCCTTTCATGACATCAATGGAATTCTCATCAATTTGTTTGCTGCTTTCCTGTGTCCCCCCTCTCCTCGATATCTACAATGGCGTTTGAAATTTGACTCAACTGAGAGTTGGTTCATGTATAGAGTTGGATGATAACATCCGTCACATTTTACTCATATGTAGTGATGGCAATTTCAACCCGTTTCGCGGGTATTATATATCCGACTTGATCTGCGATGAGACGGATATTACCGACCCGCAGTAGCGTGGGATGGGACATCAGACATGAGTATCTACTTTCTTATTCTCCTTGTCCCGTCCCGCCCTGTTTTAAATTCATTTCATCTCAATTTCTTACAATATCTATACATATTTCTCCTATTTTGACTTTTCTTCAACTAGTTAGAGTCGATCTTTCAACTTATTATAGACTCAATTACCCATTCTATTATCACCATTTCTCATTCATAAAGTGTTTTTTCCTTTGTTTTATAGTAAAAAGGTAAAATTGACGTGTTTTTTTCCGAACAACATGTAAGAGTGGATCGACCCACCCCGACCCGGAATAACGTGAGGCAGGACATGAGAATTGAGGTACCGGCCGCCCCTTTGCCATCACTACTCGTATGGGTCATTTTCATTTTGGAAACATAATAAGGCGTTCGAAAGGAAAGAAAGGGAGCTAGAAAGAGTTTCCCAACTTGCATGCATAATTTGGTGAGTCTCTGCCGATCTTCTCATGGAGTTTTCAGCAGGAAAATAAGGGTCAAGATTCGAGAAAACCAAAACTGAAACACAATTATACACGTACATTAAGGGGTCGTTTGGAGAATATGCGTTTAAATCTACAGATTATCAACAATCTAAAGATTCTAACTTTTTGGATTGTTGAAAACAGATTTTAAAATGTTAATTGTTTGGTAACTGTGATTGTTAACAATCAAGTAAAATAAAAAATTCATTTTATATTAAATAACATGTTTATCCTTAATAAAAAATTAGAGTGGTTCGAGAAATATAAAAAAACTTTGTTGATAAATATATTTCATGTGATAAATAAATAAAAGGAAGAGAAAAATTAGGAGAGAAAAAATCTCACGAATCAAGATACAGAATCTCTCTGGTTATGAGAGATTTGATATCCGCAGATTTTAGAGATTTGAAATCTCTAAAGCTAGAATCCATAATACAAAAAGTAACAAAAAAACATAACTTTCTACAAAATCTACGGATTCAATGAATCCATGTCCTGAATCCTGTTCTCCAAACGACCCCTAAGTATTGTCCCCCAATGATGCATGGCAAAAAGCAAAACCCTAATAACACCCTTTTGTCAGTTTCTGCATGCAGCAGACAGGAAACCCCTCTCTTCCTCCCCTTGATTTCCTCTCTCAGTCTCTCTGACTCTGACTCTTTCTCCACGAACTCCAGTTTCGGCCGGCTTCAGTAGTACTTTCCATTTCCTCTCTCTCTCTTTGTAACTACCTACGTACCTACTCTTTGTTTCGCTTGGTTCTACGTTGCCCGTAAATACAGGCAGATTCGTCTCCACCACTATGACATATTTTGAGACATCTCTCGATCGTAAGTAGGAGTTATCGGGGACATGTTTCCCATGGCGACAAGCGGATACGAGAAAAAAGGAATTCCGGTGTTCCCTTCTTGGAACAGGGGAAATGATGCGGTTACCTAAGCTACATAGCTAGCACTAGCAGCTCTACTCAAGAACCTTCCACTCCCACCAACCTGACGAAAAGTCGTACGTACGTGAAATTTTATGATGAAATTTAAACGCGGTAGACAGAGAGATGCATGCCATGGTTTCACATTTCACACCACTCGAATCTCAAGTTTTTGTGGCAACCCCAAAAGTTTGAGTAGAAACCCGTATGTTACAACTTAGATCGTGAAATCCACTGGAAGTCGTATTCGACGAATTAGTCAAATGCTATTGTATAGTTGTGATTCAATTGAGAGAACATTGGGCTAATTACAATGGAAAAAATGATACAATAGTATTTCCCTAAAAATGCACGAGAATGGACTTGTTTTTTTGTTGTTGTTGTTGTTGTTGTTCTATGCATGACAAGCAGTTTGACCCGAAAACTCAAAAGCACTTCTACTATGTTATAAAGTATTGGTGCTTTAATGTACAATTTAAAGTTGTACCATAATGTTAAATGTATAAGTTCAGGTTGTACCAGAAAGGAATTTGTGCTTTTATGTTATGGTACAACTTTATAACTTAAACTTGTACCATCAAATGAAAGTACAAGTTTAAGTTGTACTATAAAACAATTTGACAAAAGAGTATAGGTACAATCCGAAGTTGTACCATTACATTAAAGGTACAACTTCAAGTTGTACCATAAAAGAAAAAATCTATAGCACCAATGCTATATAGCATAGTAAAATTCCTCAAAACTCAATATTTGTGTCAATAGTATTTCTATTGCATATTTATTCTCAAAATATATAAAAATGAATTTCTTTTTGTGGATCATAATTAATATATTTTATTACCTCTGAAAAAAATTGAAATTGAAATGAGAATGATACAAGCCAATTAAGAAAAATAAAAAGTAAAAAGTAACATTTAATTTTAATCATTGGATTAATCCAAGAGGTGTTACGTCAAAAAAAAAATATCCAAGAGCTGCGGTGAATTGTGCAGTATTTTAACTTTGAAGCCCAGTGGCACTATTTAAGTCCATCACAGGCCCAAATACGCCCCGTGTTTAACTCAGGGCCAAGCCCAGATCTGGAAGCTGGTAAATAACTAATGAGCCCATCCACCACGTAGACCAGAAACTAGGGGTTGTTTGGAAGTTGTGATTCTTCAAATTGATGTATTGGGACAATTAGTGTATTATCATTTGATGGATTGAATCAATTGATGTATTAGATAAATATCTTGTTTGGAGGTTTAGATTGTGTTTTTGTTACAAAAGTAAAAAAGTTAGTATTGAGTGATTGTGAACAATCTCAACAAAAAGTAGAGATTGTAAATCCCTCAATATTGAGTGATTGTGGTGGGGTCTCCAAAAAGCAAATGCATGTATTTTAGTTCTATATAAACCAAAAAAACGACTTAATCTCACAAATACATGAATTAAATCAATACATCATTTGAAATCACAACTTCCAAACGACCCATAGAAATAGAAAGCTTACCAGAGCTAAGTTCCCGCCAAAATCTAAACTTGTAGTTCTATACACTTTTTGATCTTCACTGCCAACAGTATTAGCTTAAATAATTTAATAAATTAAGGAGCAGCCTCAACAAGTCCTGTTTCTTCGTTACACTTCACTCTCTACAGTTTTAAGCTCCACAAAAAATTACACAAACAGTTTGTAAGATAACTTTCATATTTCACCCATCTAGTTTGAGATAATTTTACCTCTGCAGTAAATCTTCAGGGGCAGCGGTGCGTTATTTACCCTGGAGTTTACAGTAGGCGTACAAACAAGATCCAAGGAAACCCATGAACTGTCCCAAGATATTCATCTGCAAAATGTATCCACTGCTTTCAGATATGGCATCGGATTTCGTGCGTAAATATCATCATATGGTAAAGGTAAAAAAAAATGTACAGATGGGGAGGGTGGAGGTGGTTAATGGTTTTTTACCAAATCAAAGGGAAGGCCGCCGAACAACATCCATCCCAGTCCGATAGTGAAAAGATCCTGTCACACAGTAATTACCACAACTCATATAAATCGAGCTATATAACCCGTAATTCATCATAACTCAACGGACCTTCGATGTTCTACCGTCTAGTTCAGCCAACCTATTTTTAACCAAACTCGAACAGTTTACCGCGTGATAGCTATGAAATGTAACGAGCTGGCCTAATAACAATGTGGTTATCAGAACATTCATCATACCCTAGATATGGATTTTGAAACTAACGAAACAGTTATTACTACAGAAGACGTTTGACGTTTCTATGGCTTTTTGTGCTCTGTCACTAAGGGGCAGCACTGTACCTTCAAATTTCCGCAGATTGATTGTGTCACTGCCGAATTAACTGCTGTGTTCAAGAACACGAAGTAGTTAATCAGGAAAGCCAGGATACAGGAAAGCAACATCACCGCCTGCAGAAAGAACAGCACAACCACAAAACTAACGACACAATTTTTCCAGTATGCAAAGTTCAAAACTGCAAAGACATTAGACAGAGGAGAATAGAGTCTAAGACAGCAGGCAAGGAAGGACCTGAAATCCTGGAAATAATAGATAGGGAAAGCTCCTTAGTGATCCCAAATCTCCGCTCACTGATGTCCAGACTAGCAATGCTGGCAAACATATAACTCCTACAGAACAGCAGGGCAATCCACATTACGCATGAAGGGAAAGAAAAAGACATTGGTATGCTGATCATTATTTTTCTCAGTTCTCACCATTGCACCACATGAGGCCAAAGCTATTGAGGCCACTAGATTTTCCTGAAAGAAAAGAGGGGGGTTCGAATTAGCGGAATGGTAGAAGTGAAGGTGAGGAGAGAAGGCAAAAACTACTATGTACCGATCCGAGCAATAGAAGCAAGATAGATTGCTGTGCAGATATTTGCAACGAAGACGACGCAATAGCTGTAGGCATCAAATGACAAGTCACGAGCTCCAGCAACGAATGCTCCAAGTATGATTATCCCCACACTGGCGAAATCCTTGCTCTTGTTAATTGAAAAAGGTATTAGCAAATTCCTAAAACTATAAGTTAAGAGCCCATTTTACGCTACCAAATGAGGCAGAATTGAAAGGTATAACATGTGATTGAATGCCACATATGACGGGTTTTAGAGCAAACACATGTGATAATGATGAAACCGCCTCATAAAACATTAAAAAAAAAAAAAGCTAAAGGATTTGCACACCTGCCAAGAACAGGCAAAGAATGTTTCTTCCCTGTCAGAAGATACTCCACTACCATTGTGAAGGCCACTGTTGTCCTTCTGAAGGTGGTATACATAGGTACGTTGATGCCACGCACAGATTCCATGGTAACCAGCTTATACCAGAACAGACAAGAAGAAGAGTTAGTGGAAATCACAAGGATGATTCCAAGCTATGGAAAAAGGAAACTAAGCGAGCTTACATTTTCAATCAAATTTAAGTACCATGTAAAGCAAGTAGGAAAATGCTAGAGGAGTAGTGTGAGCCAACGTCTTTAGGGGTACAAAGGCTGCAGGGTTAACAGTCGAGCTTGACACTTCAGTAGCGGTAAAAGAAATAACCTTCCAGTACTTCATTGCATAGAGAAAAATGCACGAGCATATCATCTGAAAGAAACGTACAGGACGAAGATAGCAAGACAAAACTGGATTACCCACACAATGAACAATGGCCCAAATTCCATGTAATTGGTGAACTTCCACATTCATGAATACTTGATGTACTGACAGTAAACCGTGTTGCAAAATGTTATACCTGAAAAAGGGTGATCACGTTTGCATAAGGGAAGCCGTAGGTAGAAAGAGCTGCTTTGTTGAACATAAACAGGAGAACTGCACCATGCGGAACAAAACATTGCTTCACTATTTGCTTTGTACAGAACAAGTAACCAAAGTTGGCTAATTGATTCCCCCCAGGGAGCATTATAAGCAGCTAAGAAACAGTTCTGCAGGTCATAGATTAACAGAATGTAGACCATTTGAAATCCAGTGGACAGTGGCGGGGTAGAACTTGAAGCCATTAGACAATCACACAGAAGCATCATTCTCGGCCTCTCACCCTTTTGATCCCAAGCATAATTGCATAAAGGTTCAAAGAAGGTGGGGAGAACTTGCTGCAGCTTCCACCATAGATAGGTATAATCCTGACTCAGAGACAAAAGGTAGTACACAACACTAGATTGACACAGAATGCTAACTGTTCAAGGTTATGACCATCTATTGGAGGATTAACTACTTAACCAGCAATCCAGCTTGGCTTCCTCAATCGCGAACATTTCTATCGAACAACTGGGAAACACGAACTCGAACGCACCACAATCACTCATTTTTCTCGGGTCCCACACGAATTAACAAATCGATCGACCGATCCATTGAGCTAGATAGTCAAATTCATCAACCACTAGTTGAATCACGTGGAATGACTCTATGATCAAGTGTGCCCATACCATAAAAGAGAATACTGGCCACAAAGCAAAGATGTATATTCCTCTTGTAACCTTTTAGGCCTACCGCATTATCTCATTGCCCTCAATTATTTTAAATCAGTGCTTTCCGCTGACCAATAAAATACTCCCAATCCAAATAAGCTTTTTTCCACAGCACCACCGTCTTGTTCCTTTCCTTCCCCTATTCATTGTAAACACCAAAATCTCCACACATGGCGTCTCCTAATTTCCATCAACACCATTGCCGCTAATCTGAACTCTGAAATCGAATAACCACCGGAAATTCACAATTTCTCGTCTAATGATCTTTGCTTCCTAACAGAATCATTGAATCGAAATCAAAGAAACCTAACCACCACTCCATGAAATTGAAAACGAAAACGAAAATTTTCAAAATAATAAGCTACGTACGGACACTTCCCCAATCAACAATAAAAATTACCGGCGCCCGATTTTCCGCGAAAAATTTCACGGGAAAGAGAGAGAATCCAAAGCTATAACATCGCGAGATCGGAAAAGCGGAGGAAGAAAATGAAAACCTGCAGTGGCCATGTAAGAAGTTGCGGCGACGACTCCTTTCCGGCTCATGGCCGCGGAGTCGCCAATGTGCTGCTTGCGCTCGGCGGCGGAGGTCGTCGACCGGAAGAAGAAAGGCAGCTTCTCGTTCGAATCCATGCTCCGGTCCTCCGCGGGTTGGGTTTCTGGTTCGGTGAAAGTTGTAGTGGGCGCGCAATGAGAGGGCAGAGAGGTGGCAACGGCTTTTTTCAGTAGGAGGGGAAAACCGGAAAAGTAAAAGAGAGTTCAGACACAGAGAGTCGTGCGTTTATTCGGGCGGGCAATTGGCCAGAACCGCCAAAACCCTAAAATGAGTACACGTGGCGACGAGCGGGTGATGCTGGGCCCCAAGAATGTTGGCCCACTGGATTGTTTGGGCTGCCGAACTGGGTCCAAATTTGAGAAAAGGTTCACGTAAATCATGTTTGGCCTTTTTCCGGGGGGCACTTCCATTTCCTTGTTTATCACGGATTTGTTTTCATAAAATGTTTGATTCTTTAAATTTTTTTCTCACCATAAAATTTCTAAAAATATTTATAAATCTACTCCATCTTGCTTTTTTTAATTGGGTTTTGAATCTTGCAATTTAATAATGATATAATGGATCGCAAGAGCAATTGGTAGTAATTGTAAACGTTTTTTGAATAGACCGACAAGATAGAAATTTTCTAATTATGCTACTAACTTCTTTACCAGTTTTCTCAATTTTATGCTCTCGAAATATATATTTTCCATTTTTCAATTTAAATGCGTGAGAGAGAGAGAGGAAGGAGAATGGAAATTAGCAAGAGATTAGGTACGAGGTGGCTTGAAGATGCAAGGTGGTGAGACTTATTCTCAATAAGCTTTTTTTCTTTATTACATACTTTTTTTTCCATTGCAAATTGAGGGAAAGAGAGCGAGCGAACGAGACACGGGAGATAGTTCAAATCAATTAAATTAAACCCTATTCGGAAATAACTTGCGATGACTTGATTATGACTCTCCGTCCATAAAGCTTGCCTTTTTTCTATTTGGTGTTATCTTTATCACTCTACTTGTTTCCTTCTCATTTTCAAGGTCTCATCCTCCACGTTCACCACCTTTGGTGTTGCCGTAGTCGGGCTAAACCCCGGGACCTCCGTCGGCGGTCCGGATGATAGCGGGATGCCTCCGGGAACACCATGGTGGCGGTGAGGATCGAACATGAGACCTCACGGTCACCAATCCGCCTCCCTTACCACCAGGCTATGTGACCTTTGGCCCACGTTAATCATCTTTAATAGGATTCACTGTCAGTTTGTTCAAACTATACGACCACTTGAGTTTGCACCTCATTCAATGGAAACTGATATCTCATTGTAAACCCGTCGATAAATGTCATTTTGGGTTCTCGATCCTAACGCATCAATAAGGGATGTTATGTAGCCTTGAAGTTAACGAATGCTCTGATATATGTTCCATTTTTAGATATGATTATTATTAGTTTATTACTAATGCTTTTTTATTGTGCACTAATACCCCTTTCATGCCTAGAACTAGAATAACAAAAAACCATTCTAAAACAACTATGAAGACAATATCATATAAAAAATGTTCCGTTCCAAATTCCTAGTTCGACTAGAATTTCTTCTTACGGTCAACATACTTCTAATCTAATTGAGCAAACCAAACCGAACCACTTTCTATCCAAACCACATCCGACAGGAGGCAAGTATGGTTGTCACGTCGGTGGGATATTGACGGGTTGAACCTATTTCAATCGGTTTCGATCATGAAACCGACATGAATATTACTGGCATGATTGGCATGATCAATTTATGACCTCTAGACAAAATGACGTCATTTTAGTGAGTTTAATAAATAATAAAATTACTGGCATGATTGGCATGAATATTACTGGCATGAATAATAAAATGACGATCATGAAACCGACATGAATATTACTGGCATGAATGGCATGATCAATTTATGACCTCTAGACAAAATGACGTCATTTTAGTGAGTTTAATAAATAATAAAATTAATTTATTATTTATGTTGTGAGTAAAAGTTGAATATTGATATAATTTATTGGATTCAAGTATCACTGCTTAATAGTGATGGTAATGGGGAGGGGCGTGTACCTCAATACCAATGCTCCGTCCGCGCTACTACGGGTCGGGGCCGGTAAATCCCGATCGGGTACGGGGCGGGGCGGGTTGACCCACTCTTACATGTTATTTAAAAAAAATACAGGAAAATTTTACTCCTTACGATTAAAACGAAGGAGAAACACTTTATGAATGAAAATTAACGATAATATAATGGATATTTGAGCATAACAAGTTGAAAGATTGACTCTAATTTGTTGAAGAAAAGTCAAAAGAGGAGAAATATGTATAGATAATATAAAAATTTGAGATAAAATGAGCCTATAACCAGGCAGGGCGGGTCCGAAGTAGATACCCATGTCCCGCCTCACGATATTGCGGATCGGGTAATACATGCCCAATCGTGGGTCAGGTCGGTTAATACCTGCTGGCCGGGTTCAAATTGTCATCACTATTGCTTAAATATTGACGTTAAATGTTGGCATCGTTTGTTTGTTGGATTTGAAAATGAAGGGTTTGAGTTTTAGAAACCTTTGGATTTATAATAGACTTGTTGCATTATGTATTTTAAAGAAATCATTATTTGTTTAAAGTTTTTTTATCGTGGATTTGGAGGTTTTTTGTACCATGAGTCCCAAACTTTTGCCTTCCAAAATCAAATACCAAAATGAAATGTGGTATTTGCAAGTACATGGGGTCCACGGATTTTTATACGTTAACAAACAATGTTTTGGGTAAAATATAAGATGCTTGAGATTTGAGTATCAAATTCACCACCCAAATTCCACAAGCAGACGATACCACTGTATTTAAATATGAGTATTTGTTATTTTAATTGAAAGTCGTATTTTATTTAAATATGAATATGAATTATAAGTAAATTGTCTTCAAATATTGTTTTATATATGATTTAATTCGTTTGATCTTTGTTGTTAATAGATTTTCACATTTATACGTATTTGGAAACCATCATGAACGGCACAAATTTGGTTATACTACCAATAGTACCATTTCACTTGTTAAACCGACGCAAACCGGTTTTACAACCATATATGTAACCCGAAACTTGGTACCGACCAAACCCGGAATCTGCGTCTCCACCACGTCCCAATCACGTCAATACGCGGGCCAACCTGAAAGTCCCCATTCCTTCTTTCTTCCTCTTTCCCATTCGTCCAGAAACTACTCCCTCTCTTCTTCTTCCCCGCCAATCCCTTTTCCTTCTTCCCTAAGCAAAATCCCAATTCCTCTTAACGACTCATTTCCCTCCAAATCCCTAGCCATGCACGAGACCGACCTCCACGATTTGTCCGACGACGCCGATTACGCTGCCTCGATCGAGCAAGTAAGCCCCTGAATCCCATCTCCATCACCTGTCCGTCTCTGTTCAATTGTCCTTTCAAATTGAAAATCTTCCTGCGAATTCGATCGGAGCTGTGAATTGCGAGCACTAGACTAGAGTATAGAGCACGGCTAGTCGTTTTTAAGAGATTGGTTGAACTCCAATTGGTACTCGTTTAGGTTTTTTATTCGCTTGGTTTGACTTGGATTTGGTGATAGGCATCAGCGAGCGTCATGCTGACGAGAAGCGAGAGCGGGAATAGGAGCCTTTCCAGCGAGACGGAAGGTGCTGAACTGATCTATTCCAAGGATAATGTCGCGATTCACCCGACGCAGTTCGCTTCCGAGAGGATCAGTGGAAGGTTGAAGCTGGCTAAGCAAGGCCATTCAGTGTTTATGGTAAGAAAACCCCTTTTTTTGTGGAAGTTTGTGATTCATGAGGTTTTGCTTGTACTTCTGTTGACTGCGTGATTATAAAGCTGTTTCTGTTTTTGTTTGGATGACAGACATGGATACCATACAAAGGGCAAAGCTCCAATGCCAGGCTTTCTGAGAAAGGTTTAACTAGCATGTCTTCTGAGTTCAATTCATGATTCAATCCCTTGTGCTGCTGATGTGTAATTTTTGTTCGGCTGACTTCTGTAGATAGGAACCTTTACACACTCAGGGCTGTGCCTTTCTCGGACGTGCGCTCAATTCGTCGACATACACCAACTCTTGGGTGGCAGTACATAATTATTGTTATGTCTTCAGGTAGGAGATACAAGTGCTTTCTAGCAAAGACTCAGTTTGATTTGTGCTTCTCTAGTTATTGGAGATTGTCGATTTGAAGATTTATGCCTAATAGGAGTCATGTGCCAGTTTATTCCTGTTGTAGAATTGTTGATTTGTAGTTTAACGGTTTATGTCTGTTTAGTGAGTTTAATGTTGAACTGCTGCACTTGTTATTCGGTCCTTGTGGGGTTTAAGGTGTAACGATGCAATAGTTTGTAATTCTGTTTTCATGTTGTGCAGGACTTGCATTCCCTCCTCTTTACTTCTACAATGGAGGAGTGAAGGAGTTCTTCACTACATTGAAGCAACATGTTTTGATTGTCAGGTCTGTTATTGATACAATGGAACTACTTCTTGCTTTTATGCAATTGGTGTTAGGTAAAATGTTGATGCGCTAAAAAGACCTGTGATGCATTCCGACACTTCGGAAATTTCTGTTGTTATGAACTATATGCATACTCTAATTTTTCGGCTCCAAACTACAGAAGTTTCTTCATCATGTAGGAAATAAATATGACCGTTGTCTAACCATCGCAACCATATGAATGTTACTGTCAATTTGGGGGGAGGATTGATTTACTTACCATCGCAACCATATCAGTAATCAATATTTACCATCGCGAGCAAATCAGTAATTATAAATGACTTATTCTTGATTCTGTTGTGTGTTCATTTTGTTTTCAGGTCGTTGGAAGATGCAAATGTATTCCTTGTGAATGATTTTCAGAATCCTCTGCAGGTCTCTACCTACTGATTTATTATATCGTTATTCATAAAAAATAGTGGCCATAGTCTGAATATCTGTTGTGAATTGTGGTGTATTTCTTTAGCAGCGAATAGCTGCAAATGTTGCTTTGTTGTTTTGATGAGTTCATTTAAAGTTAGTTGTTTCACGTTTCCATTACCTGTTTTTGTTGGTGTGGAAATGTGCCTTTGGTCTTTTTGATGATAGAGTTCTTGAGTGTTTCCTTTATCTTTTAGTCCTACGATTCACGGTTCCCCCACTCCCATTACAGAGAACATTGTCCTCCTTGGAGATGCCAGGGGCTGTTTCCATTGGAAGTGCACCAAGTACACCTGCTTCGGGTAGTCATTTGACAGCC